TGGTCTCCAAAAAGCTTGGTCACAAAAATTGGTCACAAAAAGCTTGAGCCACGCCCAGATGGTCTCCTTTAGGGGTTAAATTCAAAATTTCCGACGAGCATCCCCGTCTGTTTCATATGGGAGTCCCGCCCGGGGATATTTTAAAGAAGAAAGAAGTCTACAAATGATGTGAAAGCGGCGATCATATTACCCTGTGTATAACACTGAATTTTTTTTGTAAATTAAATAAAATGACTTTGAAAGCTTCCTTGTGATCCATGTTGTTAGTTCTTTTACTGATGTGCTTTATCAGTGCTCGCGTACAATGTATTGGTACTTACTGTCAGACAGTACATTATGCTGCATAAAATAGCCTTATGGGTTAAACCTCAGTACACCGGACACCCCTCCAAACCGGAAATTTCCTCCAGTCCCAAGGGTGTCCAGTTTTGAGGGGTACCACTGTGGTGGTACCCTAAGGTACTTAAATAGACGTAATTTTAAATTTCATTTTAAGTACAAGTTCCTTGACATTTTTCCATTTTTTCTATTAGGTACGTCCACCAAAAGTGACAGCGATGAATTAAAGTCAGTTAAACTTTTAACCATGCTCATCTACAAAGCTGCACAAATCAATAGCCTAGAATTTGTGGATGTTATCTTCAGCACTTCAGTTGGAAAAGTGGTATTTAGTCATTATAAAAACAATCCCACCTTACCTGAAGATGTTGCAAGAGCTAATGGACATACAATCCTAGGGAATTACTTAGAGAATGTGAGCAAAAGGTAATGATATTCGATATTATTTCATCGTTGATAGTTGCAATTTTTTTTCAAAGTATTTTCATCTAGGAAAATTGACTTTTAGTTGCTGAAGCCAAAGAAAACGTTGGATGGGGTTGTGTGTCTTCTGTTCACTTTTAGACCTGCATAATTCGAGGGAATTATCAGGAACAACGGTGGAGGGAAAATTGTCAAAGAGTGCAATTATAAAAAGCCACCTAGGAGTATATTTGACTTACTAACTTCTCTCTGAAATAACTGCTCATGAAGGGGAGCCTTTACACGGCCGAATAACTTATTGTAACTTGTCGGTGTTTGTCTCAGTTTTTGAGAGGCGATGCATGGATCTGAACTAGGTTTTTGAGATAACTCGTTCTTTTATCTGCTCAGTTTATCAAAAGAACGGATTGAAGACAAAAGTGACACTGTGAATTGGCTAGAACTTGAGCAGGCCTTGGATAAAAAACAGGATCAACTTTGTAAGTGCCTAATTTTCTCACTCTCTGACAATACGATTCTTTATCGTGATGTAACTTATGTGTATTTGATTCATATAAATTTGGTCACAGAAAGTAGATTTAACGAATTTGAATATATGAAAGTCATAGTGCATTGCGGTTTTAAGAAATGTATGAAAGCGATCCTCGCAGTAAATAAAACCAACTGAGCTCAGTAACAAGCTAACTGGGAGCTGGTCATCATGATATTGGTTCGCATTAAACCCGTGAAGTGAATCACTTTCATACATTTCTTAAAACCGCTGTGCACAGACACGATTTTCATATATTCAATTTCCTTGACTCGTCACCACACGGGTTTAATACGAAACAACATAATGACCAGCTCCCAGTTGGCTTAATGGTAGCTCAGTTGGTAGAGCATCGGTATTGCAATGGTCATGGGTTCAAATCCCGTACAGGCCTGAATTTTTATCGGGCCTTATTTACACCGAGGATCGCTTTCATACATATTTTAAGAAAGTAAATTTTTTAAAACTTTGTACATATTTAAGTCTCGACTGAAACATTAGAACATGTTGTTGTAGTTATATATCATTTGAGGCTATGAGAAAACCTCGGCATTTTGCTACATGAAATGACAAATTTATGTATATGTAAGTAAACCATTGGCTGACTCTGATGAAACCTTACACTCGCAAATAAAAAAGGTATATAGAAGCGATACACTGTTACCTGTCGACTCCCTGATGTGCAAGCAGAGTTTCACAAATATCAGTTATCGAACGAGTGCTTTTGTTTGACGTTTAGTCAGTTTGAATGATAAAAACAATGTTGAAAAGAGACTCCGTTTCAGTGGTAGCCAAAGGCTTCGGTTAGTATCTTTTTGGGAGGCAGGTGAAGTTCATTGGTTACGCCAACACAATTGGTCAGCTTGCTATCAAAGAGAGGCCAAGTACGAGCATCAGTTTCCGCTGATGTTTGTAGCCTTGTACTTGGCCTCTCGTTAAACAAGATAGTTAACAATTATTCCACGAGCGCGCGTTGGATATGAGATGATAGGTAGCCAACGAGGCGCGTAGCGCCGAGTTGGCTATAATCATCTCATATCCAACAAGCGCGAGTGGAATAATTGTTTTATTAAAAACGCCCCCAAGATATTCAACAAATCTTACCATATCACGAATTTTTTAGCTCCCTTTTGATTTTAAACTGACGCGTACGCTTACCATATTCGTAGATTATGGTATATTGGCTAAGCCAATAAAAAGTCTTGAATTGCGTTATCCAATGATCTAGTTTTTAATAATATCAAATACCTTACAATTAGGTATCTGTGGATCAAATAAAATCTGCTCATTGGATGTTTGGGACAATAGATATGACAAAATGTTTGAACCTTATTGGGCTTTATTTAGCCACACCAGGTACTGATGACGTTCAACCGCCAAATTATTCTGAAAGTGATGAGAAGCAGCGTGACTATGATGGAGATGATGAAGCATCAAATGTATCATCACCATTTAGCGAGGCAACTGATCCGGGATGTGAGGATGAAGACCCTGCCGCATCAAATCAAGCAAAAGCAGAGACACAACGAGATCAAAAGGAAGAGGAAGGAAAAGGTATTGAATCTTTGTTCACAGATGACGGTGATGTTGCGAAGTATATGGAACCTCCATCGCAAACTGAAGAAAGCATGAAGATATTCAGACTTGCGAAGACCTCCTGGATCGACTGCGAAGACTTGAACAAGGTTCAAGGTAAACTACAAAAAATGCAAAAAAAATTTGATATCAAACTTACATGACCCTTTTTTGAGGGAAGTGAAACTTATACCTATTTATACAATATATAATTGCAAACATTAAGTGGCCACTACAAATTAATAAAAGTAACTCACAGAAATGGTTCTATAAGTAAAACCAAAATACCTTGAAAGGTGGAGCTGGAAGGGCAGTTAGTTCATAAAAAAAATTAATTAAGTGTTCTTGAGAACCATGCCCTTAGACCCTAAAACAAAGCTTGCTGTCTAATCCCTCTCCACAAGTTTAATTTTGTTCGCTGTCCCCAGATAAATAGGTGCCTGATCAGTGTAGTGCGGCTGGTAATGATTTTACAAACCTTCATCATGAAGCCTCTGGAATTTGGTTCTGTCATGTCTTATAACACATGATATCTCCTCAAATTTTAATTATAACATAAGCAAAGTAAAGCGCGCGCTCTGATTGGTCAATTTAGCGTCCCCCATTTGCCCATGGGTGTACGCTGCTGACGTGAGCAAATGCAAAGACTATTTTTCCGCGCGCGCTTGTTTGTTCTGGTCACGTAAGATTTGTTAAATAAAAGGGAATTATTTAGCTACAATGTATCAATGTTATGTTATAAAACAAATGGTAAACACCACAGCGTACACTATTGAGTTATGGATGCACTTGGGAGATTTGCTAAGCACTCAAGAAACTAGAGTCGCTCTCGGCTATCGCCTCGCGCGACTCTTACGCTTCTTTCGTGCTTAGCAACCTCCCGCGTGCATCCATAACTCAATAGTGTATGCTGTGGTGTGTACCATTTGTTAATTGTGACGCGAAATTTTCTCTGATTACAAAGGGCACTATGCTAAGGAAGAGACTGCCTCTGCTTCAGAAAAGATACCTAGTGTCCTGTCGAACCTCAAGTTATCAATCCAGGCTGGTGAACCCACTGTTCTTACGCACTCTCCGAGAAGAGGAGAGCCAACCGAGGTCACAGATCATGGAAGTTATAAATCAATTCTAGTTTCAAGTCCATTAAGTAAGTGATCGCTAAAGCTCGAGGGGACGTCTTGTGTCCAGTTTATTGATCAATTTGATTATTTCTGAGTAACTAGGTTATATTTTCATTGTTGTTTTAATATCATAATTTGTACTTTACGCGTATAGTGAATGGTCAGGAAACGTATACTGAATAGTCACGGCCCAATTGCTCAAAGGGCTGATATCGCTTTCCAACGGATAACTCGCTATCCCCCGATTAGGTGTTAACTGAAAGTACTACGCTGACCACAAGACAGGGACTTATCCAATGCATGGATAGTGTTATTTATGTAATATCATTTTATCAATCTCTTTCAATCTCCTAGCTCTCGAAAGTGATCACATTATGGAAGACGCTACACATGAAAACAGTGTTAGCGCACCTCGACTTAATTTTACTTTTCCAAAATTAATGGATCTTCCCAACGAATACACTGAGTGGAACGATATCAAGCTTCCAATTGATATTCTGCTGTTGGTATGTGACGACAATGAGTTCTTAGCCTGTTTCTTTTATCTTGAGAAACCCTCTAAGACTTACCACAGAGACATTGGTCACGCCTACTTTGGGTTCATGGGTAATGGCAATAAGAACAAATTGAAGATTACAGTGATGAAGTGTTCCCAGGGTTGTGCAGGGCCTGGAGGCAATTATACTTATGTGACAAGTGCAGTACGAGTATTGAGACCAAAGGCCGTGTTTCTAGTTGGAGCGTGCAGTGGTTTGGATTGCAAGAAAACCAAACTAGGAGATGTAGTGGTTTCATCAAAAGTGATAACAAACACCCACCAAATTTCTGCCAGCCGGCACATGCGCAACTTCATGAGACATGTCGCTGACGGCTGGAATCCACCCTTGAAAGATTCAATTGAACAAGAAGTTATGGTGCACTGCGGTGGGGATGTTCTTTGTAGATCAGAGGCTGTCTCTGAGGATGTAGCCTTGAAACACCCGGAACTGATTGCTGTTGAGATTGAGGGTGAAGGTAGGAATTAAATTTTTTGTATAAAAATGGACAGCATCAGCCTTACTGCTTATGTGAGAAATGTTTGGGCTCGAAATGCTACTCCACCTTGGCTTGGATGCCTGTTCATCCAAGGTTCAAATTAAGGATTTTGTCAGGTTTTCCTCAGAGCTTTTTCTCTCTATGTTGGAGAAAGTGGTGGGGATAAGGAGGGATTTCTCCAGTGGACTTACTTCCCATCCTGGAGAAATAACAATAACTGTAGTCGCTCCATGCTCTACTGCATGCATGATAAGTTCTAAGAGCTGAAAAAGCCAGGCCAGCGGCTAAACCCTTTTTCCTCATCTTCTCTGTGGAAAGAATTGTGGTAATGAATGTAAATCAAGTTCACTCTTGCACTTGTTACTTTTAAAACTGAATATTCTTCTTACTTTGGTTCAGTTACTATTTTTTCTATGACTGACTAATTTTAACTAAAATTACCGAGATATCGCTATCTCTACCTATCACTACACTGCATTACTTGGTGTGAAAGGAATGTCTATTCCTCTGTTTGATAACCATATAAAACATGAAGCAGCATCTGGTTCATTCTTCAGGCATCTTTTTTTTTTTCCTTTGCTGGGTGGAACTGAATTGTGCAATGCAAAATGCTAGTACTAAATATATATGCGTGTTAAGTTTGTTGCAGCTTTAATTTCAAAGACCCGGTACATCGATGTTTTAAACTTCCTAATTGATGGCGTGCTCTTTCTTATCGAGGGAATTTCCCCTCTCTATCTCTTATTTAGGGTGATCTGTCTAGAATGGTATTATTACCTGTAACAGAATTAACACCATGATCTCCAATTTCAGATGTCTATTCAGCAATCCATGACTTGCAGGTAGAGTGGATTTTCGTGAAGGGAGTCAAAGACCACATAAATGGTGATCAATCTTCACGTGATAATTGGGGAGTTTTCGGAAGTGTTATGGCGGCTTCTGTTGTGGCCAATATTTTGCATGATCCTGTGATTTTCAAAGAATGGTGCCATTCAGGAGAAGGTGAGAGAATTAAAATTTTTGCACATTTTTTTATTTTAAGCTGTTTTCAAGTACTTACTCCAATTAAGATTGAAGAAAGAAGTCAAGTAATATTAAGATTGAAGGTGCAAGTGAAAGTGCTCTTTTGTCGCTGCTGTAGCCTAGGTTCAAAACCTGAGCCCACAATTTATGGCAAGAGAAGAAGAGATGTCAGAGGTATATTGCGTTACATGATCAGCAGTTTAGAAAAATCTCGACTAGGCGGACGCACCTTACACATTTGTTGGACATCTCAGTTGATTTTCATTTACTCTTGAAAAGCGCAATACGATTGAATTGAGTTTGATCTGTTCTATTTTAACATCAAATTGTAGTGAATCCATGGAAGAAACGGCTCTCTTTAAAGAAATAATATGAATGACCATGTTCATATGGTTACTCATGGTTCACATAATTGCTATGTTTTAAAACACATTTTCGAAAGGTGACACTTTTTTCGGCTAAGTCGCAGCTGGAAATTTGAACAGATATACTCTTAAAACTCAGTTTAAAAACTCAACAACTAAACTGTTTTGTGTTTTTATGTATTTGAAACCAAGGGCTTTTCTTGACGAACTGTTGGCTACCCCGCTATTATGTCTTTTCTTGTGATTTCCAAAGTCGCACGGTAATACTAAATAGCAAGAAAAGGCTCTATTCATACTTATGAGCAATAAGGGAAAATAGTAATCGTAATGCTTTACTGAAAAGACGTCAATCATAACAAGTTCATTTTTCTTTCTTTTTATTACATTTCTCCCTGGTACTTTTCCACCTCCCCTATTTAGTGTTTTCAGGAACAAAGGAAGGTATGGCAATCCGAAAAACTGGGAAAAGGTAGAAACAAGATTTCTGAGGGGTGTAATTTATAGTGATGGTGACTATAGTTACGTGTCTCAATGCTTTTGTTGGTAGCGTCATATGTGATCTAATTTTGCTGCTGAATCTCTTCCTATTCTGCTCACACAAAATAAAGTAACGTGAAGTAGCAAAAGTCTCTTGATTTTGTATTTAAGCAGTGTCTTCGATAGAATATTATAATCGAACAGTTCATTTTTAAATCAAGTTAACAGTTAAATTAAATTAACAGTTCATTTTTAAATTAAGTTTACTTTGAAACTTCGAGTAATCAGGACTGCTAAATATACATTTAGGTTTCTTTTTAACCATTTTGTTTGGTACTTCCTTCGATACCCTTTCTTACATCGCTGATGTTACATGTGTGTGCGATTTATTTTGAGAACAAGCATTTTGTTTTTCTTTTATTTCGGTGAATGGTCCTTTCAGACGATTCTCTGATGAATTTTTAACAATGGGTGTTAATAACTTTAGTACTAATTTAAGATAATAATTTTAATTATTTGCTTACGCAACAGCATCTCTTTAACCTTTCTTTTCACCCAGAAGTCGAGAATGGGCCCGCTATGAAAGATGCCACGCAGGACTATACTGTCAGCCCCCCACGACTCAGTTTCGCTCTTCCAAATTTGACGAATCTCGCTAAGGGATACTCAGAGTGGAAAGATGTCCAGTTTCCAATTGATATTCTGTTGATGACATTGGAGGACAACGAGTTCCTAGCCTGCTATCATTATCTTCATAAACCCTTTAAGACTTACCACAGGGACATTGGTCACGCCTACTTTGGGTTCATGGGTAATAGCGATGAGAACAAACTGAAGATTACAGTGATGAAGTGTTCTCAAGGTTGTGTAGACCCTGGAGGATATTTTTCTTTTGTGGAAAGTACAGTACGACTATTGAGACCAAAGGCTGTTTTTCTAGTTGGTGCGTGCAGTGGTGTGGATTGCAAGAAAACAAAACTAGGAGATGTAGTGGTTTCATCAAAGGTAACAACTCAGACCCACCAAATTCCTTCTAGCAGACATATTTGCAAGCTCATCAGACATGCTGCTGACGGCTGGAATCCACCCTTGAAAGATCCAAATGATCGAGAAGTGAAGGTACACTGCTGTGGAGAGGTTATTTGTAAACCAGAGGCTGCCACTGAGGATGTAGTCCTGCACAAACCGGGAGTAATTGCTATTGAGATTGGAGACGAGGGTAGGAATGAACTTTTTCCGTATAGCAGGGGCAACATAAGCTTTTCAGTTAATGGGAGAGTTCAGGTTCGAAATGCTACTCCTCTGTAGAATGGACGCCTGTCCATCCCAGGGACACACCTTGTAAGTTGTCCCCCTAAAGCTTGCTTTCCTCTCTCTGTTGGAGGAAACCTGCTCCGATTCAATATTGTCAGAAAGAGGAATTTTGGGAATGAATGTCTATTAAGTTTTCTGTCGTTCTATCACCTCTCACTTTTAAAAGTTATATAATTGTTTCTCCTACTCTTGTCAGCTACTAGTTTATAATCCGAGAGATATCTATCACCTATAGCAGGTTTAACACCATGATCTCCAATTTCAGATGTTTATTCAGCAGTCCATGACTTACAGGTAGAGTGGATTTTCGTGAAGGGAGTCAAAAACCACATAAATGGTGATCAATCTTCACGTGATAATTGGGGAGTTTTTGCAAGTGTTATGGCGGCTTCTGTTGTGGCCAATATTCTGCATGATCCTTTGATTTTCAAGGACTGGTGCCATTCAGGAGAAGGTAAGAGATCTTCTTTAATTTATCATTTCTGCCTACAAATCTAGTTTCATACATTTTTTAAATTCTAATTGAGAATAAAGAAATCAGTATATAAAGAGAAATAAGAGAAATATCATTAGTACTAATCGGTGGTAGTTTATGTTTTCATATGCTGATAGGGAAGAGAATTTCCAGCTTGAGCCAAACTTTAAGGAAGGATGACATGGGGGTGTCGTCTGTTAGAAGGATTGCCAAACTTCCAGAGACACCTTGGAGTAATCCACGTACTTCTCATTCCGCAGAAAGTAAGTGCCTACTAGCATATGTGTACACTTTATTAGGAAGGTGCACTTGTCATTCTGAGGTATAGCTCTAGTCAGTGAACAGAGTTCACCGGCGGAACTTACGATACGAGGAGTCAAAAACAGGTAGACTTCTGAACTCGTAGCACTGAAACTGAGGTGCAGGGCTGTAGCAATAGCCCTTCCATAATAAACCTACATTCGTAGTAAAATGCAAGAGCTTTCAATCTTTGTTCGAAGTCTTGAAACAGCTTCAGGAAGTAGGAAGTGGATTAAGGTGTAAATATCTGACTAGGTGTAAATATCGTGTAGGAAGAGGTTGTTATTTACACCTCGTCAGAAAAAAGGGAAGCTAATTAGTGAGCATATAAAAGGGCCTCTTGTTGCAACGATCAGATCATCTCTGATGAAGGCACTTGACAGGAGTGTCGAAACGTTGGGTTGATGAATTGCAATTTCCTCGGTTACATTCATTGGATCTTTAAACCAGAGTAGCATCAAACTATGTCAGATTGTCCACCTGGTTGCTGTGTGAACTTTAATATATCTGTGTTACTCTATGATTTACAGGTTCCGTAAAGGAAGGCATTTGTTGGTTGTCATATTTAAAATCAACAATCCTTTTATGGATAATTGTACTTTGGCAGCTATTTTGTGGTAAATATCATCGCCCTGTTGAAGGAGGTGAGTTTTCTGGTAGGTAGCAAGATTTATACTCATGCTCCCTTTTTTTTTATTGGCCGAAAGAATGTAAGAAATTAATGTATTGAATGTAAGAAATTAATGGAGGTCCCTCTACACAGCTTTTACCTGTGAATGCAGATCATACGATTATAAATTATTGACGTCCTCCTCATGCAATTCGTGATCATATTTTGACCTGCCTCCTCCCCTTCATTCGTGAGGAAAATGTAGATTTAGAGTGGCCTGTTTGTAGTTTTGCACGCGGTGTTTAAGTTAATCTCATCCACTATAGACAAGGGGAGATCGAGTATGCCTTGACTTGATAGTTTACAAAATTATGATAAGAAAGTCGTGCAGACAATTCCTGCTTTTTAACCTCCTCGTTCACACAGATAATCTAGTCATTATCACTGTCCCATTCACTTTCCTTGTCTACTGAAACTATAAAAAACCGGATGATAACCTCCTTGTTTGTTAAATGGAGAAAGGAAAGTCCACCCTCGTACTACTTAAAAAACCCTTCACTCCATGCCTCCTCTATATAATTAATAACTGGTACCTAAATTCGAGAACAAAGCCTTCAACGTCCCTAGATTAGGCGAGGGCTTTAAAAGGAACTAGCTGGAGCTCCACTTTTCGGCTTGGCTAAATCTAAATATTAAATCATTCGTCACGATTGCGATCGCTTCTCACTGACTTGTATTTAACTTTGCCGATCCTTTAAATTTACCAGGAGTGCCACAGCAAGAGTCTGTTCCAAAGCAAGCAGAGACAGTCAGTGGTGAGTAGATTTCAAAGATTTATTTGATCCATCGTAAAATGTAGCCTATCGGCGTTTTCCTATTACTGTACTCGTACTCTCCGCGGCATCCTGGTACACACCTCTGACACCTGCTAACCTGATTCTCGCGGAGGCAGATATCTTTTTTGCATGTCTTCTCTCATACTTGATTGAACATTTCAACTGAAATCAACCAGAGAGGCCCTTCACGTTTTATCGTTATGAAATAGGTTTTCACCTGCCAATCATGTGGCTTAGTGTATTTTATACACCAGTGAAACTGGGGGTACTGAGAAGGAGAAAAACGAAATTGATGGCGAAAAGAGATTTGAAACTTAAAATATAGTTCAAGAAAGGATCGACCTAGCCCCCCCCCCCTCCGCCACTCCTCTTCCGCTTTGCTCCTTGAAGGCCGTGGGTCAACTGAGGAAACTTTTGTTGTAAATCTTAAAGCATTTTCCCCACCCCCACGCTTCTAACTAACTAGGGTTTAACTTTGCCGAGTCTTTAAATTTATTAGAAACACCGCAGCAAGAGCATATTCCGAAGCAACCAGCCAACGGTGAGTAAAACTCGAAGATTTATTTTGGGTAGAAGAACTTTAATGCATGTCCATCTTGGTTTATTTCCGCCATAATTATACAATATATTTCTTGCGATAGGTCTAAAAATGTATGTAGCAACGCCAGAAAATGGAAGATTTGATGAAATCTCGTCAAAATCATTGAATCCGCCAAGCTGATTTCGCTTTTAAGAATTTGACTTAAATTCACCAAAATCGTGAATCCATGAACAATCACTCGGTTTGACGAAATTTGGATGACAGATAGATGATAGATTAGGTAGATAGACCGATAAATGTTAGGAGAGAACATTCGGATAGACTTCTAACTGGTCCGACCGTAGATTTATGAACGTTTCGGCTGTTCAGCCCTCCTCAGATAGACTTTTTAAAAAAACATACAAACGTATATAAGAACGATCCTTCGCAGTAAAGCACTATTTAAGCAATAGTGGAAATCAGACCTGAAAAAAAAAAAAATTTCAGGCCTGTACGGGATTCGAACCACTGACCTCTGCGATACTAGTGCAGCGCTCTACCAATTGAGCTAACAAGCCAACTGGGAGCAGGCCATCAAATTAATTCGATATAAACCCGTAGATGATAAATC